TAAGGAAAATGTTAAGAAACCGTTAATTAATAAAGTAATTAATTTTATTAATTAATGTTATTAAAACACTTGCATTTTAGTAAAATTTAAGTAAATTAATTAGTAAATTAAAAAAAGAACCTGTAAAAAAACAATTTTTGACTAATATTAGAATAAATCATTTAGGTGTCGGTGGATTTTATATTACCGTTATCACATTACTTATCGTTAGTATTTCTTTTTTAATTGAACTAATGTAACAATATTTTAACAGAATTATTAACCAAATTCTGGACGCCTTATATTATGGGGAATGGATTGAAGTGCAGCAGTAGGAAGAGTCTCTTTTCTTTATCCACTGTAAGCAGGTACATAGAGGGTAAGTTCCAAACTTAATGATAACGTAACGAAATAAAAAATTCTAAATAAGCCATATTCATTTCGATTAATTGTTAAATATTAACCTTTCGTTTTGAAACCTTTCTTTTATCATTTTAATATTATTATTTGCAGTATTTATAAAACACAGTAAAGAAAGTTATTTCGTAGTAATTATAATCAATTATTTATTTAAATATTTATAGTATGTATGCACCTATTTATTTCCTTGCAATAAAAACATATGTGACTCAGCATTAATTCCAACAGTGTGTGGTAACGTTATTAATTAATTAATTGTATCTATTATAGTAGATATCGCTTTTAATGTAACAAATTATTCTACAGGAATATTATACGAACTTTGGGCACCCTATGTGGTACTCTCGTAGTCATCCTCGGGTGCTAATACTCCATAGCCCAAACAGTTTTTAAATGCAGTATAGAAATGCCTTCCTTCCGCAGGACAGAGGAAATTGTGTGCTCTGTTACTAAAAGAAGGATTCAGGACAATGAAATGGTAAGCGATTACATTTTAATTGATGTGTAATTAAGACTTTGGTAGATAGGTGCTTAGATTGCTCCATAACTAAGATCAAAAGAATTCCAAGGCATCAGTGAATAGAACTTAACTGTTAGAAATTACCAGGGTGCACTCTCAACCCTCAATTTAAAAAAGTCGTTTTTAAATCTAAATAAATTAATTTCTCCCTTATTAAACTAGCTGAAAGTTCCAAAATGGACTAAAGTTGTTCCAAGGCATCAGTGAATAGAACTTAACTGTTAGAAATTACCAGGGTGCACTCTCAACCCTCAATTTAAGAAAGTCGTTTTTAAATTTAAATAAATTAATTTCTCCCTTATTAAACTAGCTGAAAGTTCCAAAATGGACTAAAGTTGTTCCAAGGCATCAGTGAATAGAACTTAACTGTTAGAAATTACCAGGGTGCACTCTCAACCCCCAATTTAAGAAAGTCGTTTTTAAATTTAAATAAATTAATTTCTCCCTTATTAAACTAGCTGAAAGTTCCAAAATGGACTAAAGTTGTTCCAAGGCATCAGTGAATAGAACTTAACTGTTAGAAATTACCAGGGTGCACTCTCAACCCCCAATTTAAGAACGTCGTTTTTAAATTTAAATAAATTAATTTCTCCCTTATTAAACTAGCTGAAAGTTCCAAAATGGACTAAAGTTGTTCCAAGGCATCAGTGAATAGAACTTAACTGTTAGAAATTACCAGGGTGCACTCTCAACCCCCAATTTAAGAACGTCGTTTTTAAATTTAAATAAATTAATTTCTCCCTTATTAAACTAGCTGAAAGTTCCAAAATGGACTAAAGTTGTTCCAAGGCATCAGTGAATAGAACTTAACTGTTAGAAATTATCAGGGTGCACTCTCAACCCCCAATTTAAAAAAGTCGTTTTTAAATTTAAATAAATCAGTTTCTCCCTTATTAAACGAGCTGAAAGTTCTGGATGGACAGACTAACATGATTTGTGTAAAGCATACAACTAATAATGTTTTAAACCCTCTTTTTTAAAAAGGGAGTTTTTAATAATTGAATTAAGACAGTTACTGTTGAACTGACAATAAGAATCTTTCGCAGTATTGTGGGCTGCCTATATGGAGTGCGGAAAATCATTATTTAAAAGTGGAATTTTATGTTAAAATTATCATCCTAAAGATAGACACGTTACAGTGAGAGTCGAAATTTGTAAGCAATGAAATATTTGGTTTTTAAATAATTAATCTATTTAAATGTATTTGATACATAAGGAGTCTATGAAAATAATTATGATTTCATATCACTTAACGCTGTTGATGGTAGTTAATGTTTTTTAACTGTGTTTTGGATATTAATTTGTCTCTTCCGGGTATTTTTATGGTGTATACTGTACATTAGGACTTTTTAGAAGGTTGATAATAATTAATCAATAATTTTCTAGTTAAAAATGCGGACAAAAAACTGTTAGCCTTTTTTTAGTAAATTGTGGCGTTCATTTATTATTTTTCAGATAATTTTTCCGTGAATAAGGAAGATGTGAGTAAAAATGTAGTAAAGCAATAATAGTCAAAGAAATGCTTCCTAATCAAACAGAATTAATGTACCAACCCCTTTTTTTTTATTTGTATTTAGGTAGAATAATATTAAGAACAAAAGAAAGAATTTTTAGTGTTCGGTCCAATATTGAGAAATGTAGTAGAAAAGTAATTCTTAAAATGGGCAAAATAAGAGAGTATTATTAACTTATTCCAACTTTATTCACAAATCATAATGTTCTTACTGAACCGACTTTAATTCCAGTTGGTTTTTTCGATAACCTTAAGAACAACATTAAACAAGTTTGGGCACTTATTTTTGCCTTTTTAAAAAGCATTATTTGTATTTTACTACATTTTCTAAAACCGTAATATTCTCTCCAAGTGATACCTGTTTCTTTCGTGCTTATCTCTTTAATGGCATTTTTGTATAATGACATCATTCGATCTTGCCTCTTTGTCTCGATAAATGGTAAGCTTCTATTCAGTATGTGCAAATATATACATTCCGAATAAATTGAATTCCTGCGTAAAGAATAAATAGTCGAATCGAATTTAAAAACTAATTTACAATTTATGAATTAAATTGTAACTTTTTGTAGAAATACGTAGGTACATATTCTAAAACGTATTTTTTTGTTGGAAAGGTTAATAGCAATCTTATCATAGGTATTTCTGTTTTTATTAAGGGGCTCTAATGGAACCTATTTGAATTAAAAAAAAAAATAGTTAACGATTATGTTTTTTAATTTATTATATTATTAGATTTATATTTATTCAACTGATTAATAACTTAATAACAATTGGGAGGATTGTTTGCGTAGGTGTATGTGTACAATAAGGAAACTGATCAAAGTAGGTTTGATTATTTTTATTAGTCATTAAGAGAGAAGAAATGGAATATGTGTAAAATAACAAAACAGGTATTTTTGTTAAAATTTTGCGCGAAAATCGGGATCGTAGTCATGGATGAGCTCGACTAAGCTAAGGGTCATGCATTAAAACTTGTGACTCATATGTCAGTCCACACTAAATATTAATTGAACCCTATATAACGTAAAATTTAAAACCATATAGGCATTCAAGTTCTCATAACCCAAGACGCTTAGCTTAATACAAAACATTGCGAAGTTTTACAATTTTTTTCTAAATGAACGAAAATGCTAACAATCAATTTATTATAGGAGTACAATTTTTGAACGTATCTTATGTTTATTCTACTCGATGGTAATTTATTATCTATTGTTTTTCTTTTTGTCATGTCTGCGTGTATTTCACAGTGACGCTACCTTTACCTCGACATATACTAATGGACAAGTCTTAGCGATCAGAATTGTGGTACAACAAAAGAAAGAGATAGAACGAAGTTTCGGACAATATCCATCTCTCTCACGATAGTGCGTAAGCGTGCAATGAAAGAGATAGCACTAGTCCGAAACCATATGCCATGTCCTTCACTCTTTTCGAGCCAAGAAATTATTACAACGATATACGGCTAAACACGTCTATTATTATATGTCTATGCTTACTACTATCTTCGACGAGATTAACAAATTTATAATGACGCCGATGACGTACTTCCTCTACTACCTTTGTAGATCTATTATCTATGTACTTCCTTCTTGTTCACCCTTCACTGTCTGCTTCTGCTTGTGCGCTACACGTTCACTTTGCAGTATTAACGGTTAGACATTTTGTGTGCATTTTTGATAAAAGATTTAAAAACGTAATAATACATACAAAATTTATATTACTACACGCCCTGGAATTACAACTTTATCTGTGGTATGTATTTTAATTATCGGGTATGGGATTATTTTTACGATTCGCATTAATTAAGTTTCTAAATACGTACGAAGTTCACTCGGCCATATTTGATAATCTAGAACAGGCCTAGAATGTGGTTTATGTAAATCGATCGATTTTGTGAAAAATAATAGCAATCAGTTCGTTCATTATAAATAAATTGATTTTATAAAATAATTCAGTTTCTACAAATTTATTATTTTGGGCTTTCACTTGTTTTTTTTTTCTTTTTGCAGATACATTTAGGAATAATTGTTTTCCTGCCTTTACCAAACGAATTTTTCCTTCAGCAGTTCAACCTACTAGTACAGTATCACAGTGGATTCGCCTTCTAAGTCTTAAAGGACTTTGTTGTGGAGAGGTGAGGTAACTGAAAATGTTTGAAAATGAATAAGAGTTGAACATTCTGTAAAGTTGTAGATAATTTTTTTTATTTAGTACTGTAATTAATTCGGTTTTCTTTATTTCTGTGTATTATATATAGATGACAAAGGAAACTGAAATCCATTTCGATGCTACTAAAAAAACAAGTTCTAGCTGTGAATGCAGACTATAAGTACATATTGATATGAGAGTAAATGTGGGAAAAGGAGTTTTCATTAAAAGTGGTAATTGGTTACTTTTTCTTGTTCGTTTTTGTAGATTGTCCATGAAAAGGAATTCAGTTAATTTTCGATGCTAATGAAGCAACTGATCCATTTGACGTAAGGGAGAGAACTGGAAATTAATTTGGAAACCACCCAAACAGATTGTCTGCAGTGGTACTCTCCTAGATTTGGATTGCACATTTCACATTTGAACGCTACTTCTTCACTTAAGGTGATAAAGCATGACGTGCTATTCAATTAATCTGTTACGGTATATTGACAGTTATCTATTGTTCACAGTATAAATTGATGTTATGCATCTATGGTATTCACTTTAACATTTATCTATTATGCGTAGCATCTATAGTGTTTCATTTAACAGTTATCTATGGTTCGCATCATGAATTGACGTTATACATATGCATCTATGATTATTTCACATATGTCAAATACGATCTTTATGTAAAATTGAGGCTCGTCATCCTTTTATAATTCGACTGCTTTATTTGCTTTTTGGTCTGTTTTTAGGTGTTCTTTCATCCCTTCCTTCGTTAATAGTGTAATTAATAAGGTTTTTTGTTCATTTCTGCAGATTATCCAAGAAAAGAGAGAGACTTAAAGTCAGCTTGGTCATACTGAAACCAGCAATGTCTAGATGGGTTTCATCTTTCCTGGAGTATATACTTGATTTGCTGCTTTGTCTTCACCTTGAACCATTATGCAGTCAATTTTCAACCTACGAATGAGAGCAACTGGAGGTTTCTTTGACTTCTTTTGAAACAACAAATTTTCTGCTATGGTATTCCTCCTGGATTTGGTTTGCTTTTCACACATGCAAACTTTGGAATGTTACAGTCTACAGTTAATTAAGGTGAGACTACTTGATATAATTAATTTTAATTGCTCTTTATTAATCTGTTACCACCGTATCTGTTTCAGATCGACGTTGGAGAAGACAAAGATGACCCCATAATTGAAATAGTTCTTTATCTTGCATGCTCTATCTAGTAGAATTCATTAAGTTGATTTTATTCAAATTAATTTTTTATTTTGCATGTTTTTTTGTTTTTTTAGTAGTTAATTTTATTTAGTTTTTATTTTGCATGCTTATTTTTGTTCATTTTATTTGAAGTAATTGTTGATTGTAGATGTTTTTATTTTTTTTTGTATGTAGTAGTNTAATAGCAATCAGTTCGTTCATTATAAATAAATTGATTTTATAAAATAATTCAGTTTCTACAAATTTATTATTTTGGGCTTTCACTTGTTTTTTTTTTCTTTTTGCAGATACATTTAGGAATAATTGTTTTCCTGCCTTTACCAAACGAATTTTTCCTTCAGCAGTTCAACCTACTAGTACAGTATCACAGTGGATTCGCCTTCTAAGTCTTAAAGGACTTTGTTGTGGAGAGGTGAGGTAACTGAAAATGTTTGAAAATGAATAAGAGTTGAACATTCTGTAAAGTTGTAGATAATTTTGTTTATTTAGTACTGTAATTAATTCGGTTTTCTTTATTTCTGTGTATTATATATAGATGACAAAGGAAACTGAAATCCATTTCGATGCTACTAAAAAAACAAGTTCTAGCTGTGAATGCAGACTATAAGTACATATTGATATGAGAGTAAATGTGGGAAAAGGAGTTTTCATTAAAAGTGGTAATTGGTTACTTTTTCTTGTTCGTTTTTGTAGATTGTCCATGAAAAGGAATTCAGTTAATTTTCGATGCTAATGAAGCAACTGATCCATTTGACGTAAGGGAGAGAACTGGAAATTAATTTGGAAACCACCCAAACAGATTGTCTGCAGTGGTACTCTCCTAGATTTGGATTGCACATTTCACATTTGAACGCTACTTCTTCACTTAAGGTGATAAAGCATGACGTGCTATTCAATTAATCTGTTACGGTATATTGACAGTTATCTATTGTTCACAGTATAAATTGATGTTATGCATCTATGGTATTCACTTTAACATTTATCTATTATGCGTAGCATCTATAGTGTTTCATTTAACAGTTATCTATGGTTCGCATCATGAATTGACGTTATACATATGCATCTATGATTATTTCACATATGTCAAATACGATCTTTATGTAAAATTGAGGCTCGTCATCCTTTTATAATTCGACTGCTTTATTTGCTTTTTGGTCTGTTTTTAGGTGTTCTTTCATCCCTTCCTTCGTTAATAGTGTAATTAATAAGGTTTTTTGTTCATTTCTGCAGATTATCCAAGAAAAGAGAGAGACTTAAAGTCAGCTTGGTCATACTGAAACCAGCAATGTCTAGATGGGTTTCATCTTTCCTGGAGTATATACTTGATTTGCTGCTTTGTCTTCACCTTGAACCATTATGCAGTCAATTTTCAACCTACGAATGAGAGCAACTGGAGGTTTCTTTGACTTCTTTTGAAACAACAAATTTTCTGCTATGGTATTCCTCCTGGATTTGGTTTGCTTTTCACACATGCAAACTTTGGAATGTTACAGTCTACAGTTAATTAAGGTGAGACTACTTGATATAATTAATTTTAATTGCTCTTTATTAATCTGTTACCACCGTATCTGTTTCAGATCGACGTTGGAGAAGACAAAGATGACCCCATAGTTGAAATAGTTCTTTATCTTGCATGCTCTATCTAGTAGAATTCATTAAGTTGATTTTATTCAAATTAATTTTTTATTTTGCATGCTTATTTTTGTTCATTTTATTTGAAGTAATTGTTGATTGTAGATGTTTTTATTTTTTTTTTTTATGTAGTAGTGTAGTAGTAGAAATAACACGTTTAGTAGTTGTAGTATAGTCTAACCTTGCTTACCTCTTCGCTTAGCTTACTGCATATTCTTCCTAATTTGCTTTGCATTTACCCTACGAGTTCTACATGATTCAACGTTTCGTTATCGTGTGTGTTTCTTCTCACCCTTGTGGAATTAGGGAGGGCCTCCCCGAACGACTTCCCTTGGGCTTAGCTATTTAGTTGATCTTAAAAGTGTCTTATACACTTTTCGCGAGTCTACTCTAGCGTTACTTCCTTTCAGACAGGGTACANAAAAAATATGTTTATATTAAAGTATTGTTATTTGAAATACTTATCTATCGATGTTCATACGTTGTGTTTCTTATAAATGCTATTAATTTGCAACAATAAATGTATTATTGAACAAATTGTATTTTATTTAAATAAAATAAATAATAAAATTGCTAAATAAACCTCATTTTGATATAAACAGCGTTTTACTTATTAAAAATAACACTAAGACATCTTTTGAGAAATTTAATTTATAGTTATAATACTGGAAATGAACATAAATTATGATACTAATGGTACAATTAAACGTTTCAAGGCTGAACGATGTAGAAAAACGAAAAACAAGACTGCGATATAGTTGATCCCGCGCTAAAAATTGATAGTTTTAAAAAGACCTTTTGCCACTTATGCTCTCCTAATACAAATTTGCAGATTTAACAAAATTTTCAGTTTTGCGTCATATACAAGGGCCGGTCGAAAAGTTATAGAATAAAATTTAAAATTTTTTTTGATTTTTCCGTTACTTTCTGACCGACCTTCGTATTTGGCTCAAAACCGAAAATTTTCATAAATTCAGACATTTGTATTAGGAGAGCATAAGTTGCATTGGGTCTTTTTCCAAATTTTTGATTTTTCCATTACTTTCTGACCAACCCTCGTATTTGGTTCAAAACCGAAAATTTTCATAAATTCAAACATTTGTATTAGGAGAGCATAAGTTGCATTGGGTCTTTTTCCAAATTTTTGATTTTTCCATTACTTTCTGACCAACCCTCGTATTTGGTTCAAAACCGAAAATTTTCATAAATTCAAACATTTGTATTAGGAGAGCATAAGTTGCATTGGGTCTTTTTCCAAATTTTTGATTTTTCCATTACTTTCTGACTAACCCTCGTATTTGGTTCAAAACCGAAAATTTTCATAAATTCAAACATTTGTATTAGGAGAGCATAAGTTGCATTGGGTCTTTTTCCAAATTTTTGATTTTTCCATTACTTTCTGACCAACCCTCGTATTTGGTTCAAAATCGAAAATTTTCATAAATTCCAACATTTGTATTAGGAGAGCATAAGTTGCA